ACAACAGATCTGAACCATGCCCCCTCCTTTGCCATCCTCCCCTTGTCTCTCAAGTTCAAGCCCATAGTGGTGGTCACCGTGTCACTCTATAGCATTGAGGGTCTTCCTCTATTTCGCTGACCTTCTACCTTTCCCAGCGTGAGGTCTCTCTCCAAGGACTGGTCCCCCCTGACCACAAAGGATGTGAGATGACGTTCCACTGTCTGCCTCTCAGGAGCACCTTGGTTGCCCTTCCATCAAGATGAATTTGTTTATTCTCTTGCCAGCCCATGGAATATTCAGAAGTCTTCACCAACACTGCGCCTCAAAGACATCGATTCTTCCGGCATCCTTACTCAGCCTTGCTTGCTTTTCCTTTTTACTGTTTTCCCTCTCCTGCACTTTAAAGAAATAAAAGAAACCTCTAGCAGATAGCAGTCAATAACAGGACTCCGAGATCCTGGGAGCAGTGCACCTCTGTGCAGACCTTGATATAACTGCGGCTTTGGGTTCCTGAAGCTGAGAAGATTGGATGGCACACAGGCAACCTCCTCACGTACAGGGCAGGGACTGGGGGTGAGGTGGTTCCAGATGTGCACCCAGGCCCACACCCTCCTGTCAAGAGCCCTTTCAGGGGCATCTTCCCAGCACAGCATCACACTGTGAGGCAGCAGACGCATTCAGGGACACCTAGAGGCCGGACTAAGCCATGAGGCACCAGCCTTTGTTTGCAGCAGGGAAGGCTCGAGGCTGCTTGTGACGACCCAGTCATCATTTGGATCTGTTCCCACCTGTTGGCCCTTGCAGGGCGATAGCTCTGCACGTTTTCCTCAGTTGCCTCTGATCAAGCATCATCCATCATGTATCAAACACAGCTCTGAAGCACCAGAATCTGACCACACTCTCGTGCTGCCTTCCAGTTTATTTGAGTCAGAGTGACCAGGTAGGTTAGATACTACAAACATTCTGTACATGAAGAAACCTGAGACTGGGGTGTTAGGTCGGGTTCACTGGTTCACTCAGTGACCTTTCAGAAAAGGGAGGGAGCTCGGTGGTTTTGAGAGACAAGTTCTGTCCGCCCTCCTGGTGGTTATCATGTGCCATTGCTTGATTCCAACTCCTGGCAGCCCAGTGTGACAGAACAGAGTGGAAGCAGCTCACCAGGTCTTTTCTCCTGTGAAGTGACTGGTGGATTCAATCCACTGACCTTCCTGTTAGCATTACTAGAGCTCCTAATATTGAATCATTACAGTGATTCTGTGAAAAGGAGAGACACACTGAATAAGATGTACTTCCTCCCCTCATAATTCACTCTCTGGTACAACATTGAGGAGCTCTGGTGGCCTGGTGGTAAGAAGCTGTGCTGCCATCCCAAAGGCACGCAGTTCAGATTCACCAAGCTGCTCTGCGGGACAAGGCTGAGCAGTCTCCTCCTGTATGGTTTGCTGCCTCTGAAAACCCACTGCAGGGTCAGCTCCAACTTGATGGTACTCAGCAACAACAGTACAATATTTACATCAGCTGCTTTTGCTGCATAGCATATTTAAAACGGAAATAGCCCAACATTTAAACCCAAAAATCTCCTACCAGTAATAGAGTTAGTTCTGACTTCTGGTGCCACTCCATTGGGTTTTGGAGACAACCCATCTGGTTCCCTCCTTGCTGCTGGTGGGCTTGTACTGCTAACCTTTCAGCTAAGAGCTGACCATGTTACCATACAACCAGGGCTTTTTCTATCTCAAAACTTGGGACCTTAAAAAAAAAAACAACCATTTATTCATCTCATGATTCTGTGGGTCAGCAGTTTGGCCAGGGCTCACTCCTTGTCACCTAGTAGGGCAGCAGGGAGCATGGTGACAGCTGGGGTGCAGCTCACATTGCAGGATCCCCAGAACCAATGGTAAGAAGACATGGCTCAATGGGCAAGCACTAAGTTTAAACCTCTAAACACTTTTAAGCTCTAAATCCTGCTCTATCCTGAGCCAATCTCATTGTCTCTGACAGGCCTAATCCCATTTCTCCAGTTACTGAGTCAATCCATTTCGTTCTGGGTCTTCCTCTCCTGTGCTGTCCCTCGACCCTTCCAAGCATGATATCCTTCTCCAAGGACTGGTCCCTCCTGACCACCTGTCTATGGTATGTGAGATGGAGCTTCAAGTCCTAGCCTCCAAGGGAACAGCTTGGTTTTGCTCTCTCCAGGACAGACCTGTTTGTTCTCTTGGAAGTCCATGCTGTATTCAACACTCTTCTCCAGCGCCACAACTCAAAGGCATTGATCCTTCTTCTATCATCCTTAATTACTGTCCAGCTCTCTGAAGCATAGCAAGTAATTGTGAAGACCATGGGTTTTATCAGGCGCATCTTAGTCTCAAGACTGACATTGTTGCTCTTTGATACTCTAGAGAGATCTCTGGCATTGGACTTTCCCAGTGCAATTTGTCTTCTGATTTCCTGGCTGCTGGTGCCAAGAGGGTTGATTGTGGACCAAGTAAGCTGAAGCTGATAACAATCTCAGTCTATTCTCCATCTATCATGAAGCTGCCAATTGGCCCAATGATGAGAATATTTGTTTTCTTGATGCTGAGCTTCCATCCATATTGCAGACTACAGTCCTTAACCTGCAGCAAATGCCTCATGTCTTCCTCAGTTTCAGCAAACAAGGTTGTGTCTTCTGCATAACACAGGTTGTTGGTGAGTCTTTTTCAAATCCTGATGTCACATTTCTTCTCATAGAGCCCAGACTCCCAAATGATTTGTTCTGTATACAAATTGAAAAGGTATGGAGATAAGACACATCCCTGGTGCATTTCGTTCCTAATTTTGAATCATGCAGTGTTCACCTGTTCTGTTCTGAGTACTTCCTGGTCCAAGTGTAGGTTTTACATAAGCCAAATTAAGTGACAGGATTTCCATTCTTCTCAAGATTAGCCACAGTTTGTTGTGATCCACACAGTCAAATGCCTTTGCATAGTCAATGAAACACAAACAGACATTCCTCTGGATCTGGCTTTCAGTCAAGATCCATCTAACATTGGGTATGATATCCCAAGTGCCACAGTCTTGTCTAAACCTGGTTTGCACATCTGGAAGTTCTCTGCTGATGTACTATTCCAGTCATTTTTGGATAATCTT